CTACTCTACCCATAAAACATCCCCCCCCCCCCCAACAATGCAGCATTCGCCCCCACTGTCAGGAGGAAAGGAGAGCGGAAAAAGTTCAAAACTTTATTCTACCGGCAGAACCGGCTTGAAGATGGCTATTTTATGTTATTTATTGTTTTTTAAATCATCCTAGAGGCTCTGACATGTTAGATAATTTTGAAAATGAGGTTTTGAAAAAATCTGTAAGACTTGAAAAAATTTGTGAGATTGTACTATACATCCGTATACCTGCAAAATGATCTAAAATCCTTATGACTTCCGGACAATCTGTACAAGTTGACATGTATGTTATTTATTTGCTTTCCCAGAAAGCAAGTAAATCTAAATTTACCGTAGCACCTTTCACTGTCAAACTTGTTTTTAGGGGTTTAAATTGGGGTGGGTGGGACATAGTTGGGGAGGGGGGGTTGCGCTTCAACTCGCCTAGGGCACCAAAATGGCTAGAGCCAGCACTGTAGCAATGGCAGTGGAGGAAGTGAAGGAAGCCAGTCCGTGTTGATAAGGCTTCCAAATTAAATTAAATTTGTCTGACAAAGCAGCAGCTCTTATTTACAGCTGTCCCATTAAGCTTGGTACTTCTCTCCTCACAGTAGGGTTGTTTACAGCGCACGCGATTTCCCGTTACCATCTTACCTTAGCCTCCTTCACAGCAACATACATTGCAGCCAACCCATCTAATCATTTTAAACTTCAGCAGAGGCCACACCTCCAGCAGTAATTGCTTCTCCACAGCCGAGAGTCCAGACCCTCGTACGAAGCAAAGTGAAGGACAAGGGTCTGGTTTTTACCAGGCTAGAGCTTGTCTGTCTGACAGCTGAAGTTTTGACCAAATTGAGTCCAGCAGAAAATTGATCCCAAACACAGCAGCTGATCTACAACAAAATGGGTCCAATAGATAAGAACCAAGGTGCTGCTGTGATCCAGTCAAGAGTTCCGAACCTCAGCCTGACTTCAGAGAGCTGAACAGAAACCCCAACGAATACAGTAGAAGATTCAAAGAGGAGCAGACCAAAAGTCACAACCAAGTGAGAGCCTTAGGTCCTACAGAAAACCACTACTGGGGTTTCTGTTGCCATTGTTCTATAAACTGGACTGGATTTACGTTTTCACACATGATCCTTTTTAGTTTTCTTAAAACAAGCTCCAGAACTGACAGTAGCATTTTTTCCATGCATCTATAAAATAGTTTGACAGATTAAAGCCAAGAATTTTCAAATGTTTCTCCACTCCCCTTGTTGTTGATTTCATTTATCTTCTCATCTCTGAGATCCTGGGTGTCAGCACAGCTTGTCCTCTGACATCTGATAAATAAAATCGGCTTTTAGAGTGGCTGCAAATGACTTTAAAATGTTTGAATTAAGAAAATGTTCATTAAACAAAACCTAATTTTTCTCTTTCTAGTTGATTTGAATTCTGTTGTGCCCCTTGTTAACATGCTGTGTGGATGTAACTGATGGCCTGTTGTAATACAGTGCCTGTATAGCTGGTGCCATCTGCATAGCTTCATTCCATAGAGAACAAGAAAGCATGAGCAATCAGATGGCGAGGGAGCTGGAAATCCTCTGCTCATAATCTGAAGCCAAGAAGCTGGGCTGAAATCAGTTCGGGCCAATGGGACATTTGGGATTAACCAAACACACAGGACTGCTTTTCTCCCCCTGTCCTTCAGCTATATTTGCTTTGTGTGTGCCAGCCTCTGAAAAACTACATGCCAGATCTATATTCACAGGCTAACAGAGGCACTACTTATCGGTTTACCCCTGTGAGTTCTGGGGCAAGTGCCCCCTGATGCTTTCTAGGAGTTCTGCCACACTAAAGAGAAGTCCCAGTGGGCCACAGACGGGGGCTGTCTGAGGCTCCTCAGCAGATAAAAGGAGCTGCAGTGAAACACCTGATGGCTGGTTTCTATAAATCATTTTCATGTAGCATTAAACTTGATTTATGTGAAAGTGTGTAGAAAAGTAGGGTTTATAAAATGAGTTTGACCACATCCATGGTCTTCAACCCTGGACTGACAGAGCAACAAGGAAAGTCTGCTCAGGTTTGATTTAACAGGATTATGGTCTTCTGTATCAACAATCTGAATGGTCAAAATGATGTCTGAACGATGAGACAAAACAAGATTTATTTTTAATAGAGATAGCATAATCCAATATCAAGTATTGTATGTGAGTATTAAGGCATTTTAGTATTATAGTATCTGACCAGATACAGCCCCGATTCGTTGTTGCTGTACTGTGACGAGTTAAATGTTGTTTGGCTGACAAAAAAAAAACACATTGTAATGTGCCAAACATATCTGTATTATGGAAGCATTTTGAAATTCAAAATGAGAGAAGATAATGGCAGACTAGTGCTCTATTTAATACCACCAATTAACCGAGATATCTAAAAAAATCAAAAGACTTAGCTTTTACTGTTAGCTTGAGGAGCTGCTCCACATGTGTTCACATGTGCGATGGGTTAAATCCAGAGACTCAATTTACCCTCTGCTGGATGATGGTTAATAAAATCGAAAAATGTAAGAAAAAATCTTAAACAACAAGTTAAGGGAAAATGCTTCAGAGAAAATACAAGTTTCCAATGAACAGTGATAAGACACAGAGGATTACAAAACAATGAGCTAAATGTATCAGTTTCTTGTTGTGGCGGAGAAAATTGGTTTTCTGTTTGGAGATATGACATGCGTGCCCTACTTTCCTGACACTACATAATAGATATTTTTACGGCAATGCAGATCATCTGAGGCATTAAGCATAGTGTGGTACTGGGTCTTGTGGTATTCATGTGGTGGAGTGCCCAAGTTTGGGCAGCCTTGTTAATTTTCCTGATTTACGTTTATAAATCATTGATTGCTTGGATTTTAAAAAAATCAGTTAAATATATCATATAGGGGACAAACGGTGATATTTGAGAAGTGAAATGAAGTTTATATGATTTACAGAAAGTGTGAAATAATTGTAACAAAATTGGGCAGGTGCATAAATTTGGGCACTGTTGTCATTTTATTGATTTCAAAACCTTAAGAACTAATTATTGGAACTCAAATTTGGTTTGGTAAGTTCAATGACCCTTGACCTCCGTACACAGGTGACTCCAATCGTGAGAAAGGGTATTTAAGGGGAGCATTTGTAAGTTTTTCTCCTCTTTGCATCTCTCTGAAGAGTGGCAGCATTGGAGTCTGAAAACAACTTTCAAATGAGCTTAAAACAAAGATTGTTCACCGTCATGGTTTAGGGGAAGGATACAGAAAGCTATCTCAGAGATTTCAGCTCTTTTTTGTGTCACTTCAGTAGAAAACAAAACCAAATATTAGTTTATTTAGTTTACTTATTTCTTCATCATCAGTGACTTTTTTAAGTGAAGAGAAAATAGAGACAAACAGAGAGAAGTAATTAGAAAGATAGAAAGATTGAAATAGAGATTAGAAGTATATTAAATATACACCAACAAAACACAGGACCACACACCCAACATCTGTCCGCTCACCTGACAAATGAATACATGGAGGGCATATATAAATACATTCACATGCCCATAAATATATAAAGATATAAATACATACATGCCTACATTCATAAATATTGTAAGTATATACGTACACACAGACAAACAGTATATACACACTCAGTGACCAGTCAGAACCCCCCGGATCAGAACACCTGTTTGTGAGCAGTTGTGAACATGCGTGTATATACAAGATTTCTCCAATGGAATATTTAATAGTGACTGTGGATGACCGAAGACCCAAGCCCCGAGGCAGACATAGGGAAGACCAGAGCCCAAGGGCCTGAGAGGGATCCCGAGCGCAGAGCCCCAAGGGGCACCCGCACGGGAAGATCCACCCCCCACCCCCCAGATCAGACCATAGGGGAGAACAGGGAGAATCCCCCCAGCGACCACACCCACAGCCCCTGGGGCCAGCAGCGACAAACTCATGGGCCTCACCAGCACCCGCCATACCAGAGCAGATCCAGGAAAGGGCACAGAGGTCCGGGCCCCCAGGGCGCACCCCCTCCAGGCCAAAGCCCGACAGGGCCAGAGGCCCCGAGCCCCAGCAAGCAGTCGCCAGGCCAGGCCGGCACACACCCCAGCGCCCAGCCCCAGACCCCGGGAACCCCCACCACACCGGCGGCCAGCCGCACACCCCACCGGGGGGCAGAGCAGCAGTGGGCCCCCAGATAAACCAGCAGGAGGGATAGCCCAGACCGCAGCCTGACAAATACCCAAACATACACAATCGCACCATCCCACCCTCATCCTCACCCCTACTCAAAGACATACAAGGACGCCACATTCCACTCATACCACTGATACACAGTCTATATCCCCCAGGTCCAGCACATGCACCCACACCCTATTGGAGGCAGCACACACCCAAACCCAGGAGGTACACCCAATCATTCTGAGGTGGAGAGGAGCAGATAGCCAAGGCCCGGCCTGGGCCACACCAGGACACCTGGCCAGCCCCCGCCGCTGAGAAGCCACATCCATGACCACCCCAACACACCACCAACAACCAAGTGTACCCCCCCAGCCGTCCACCCCCCAGAACCTGGCAGCCACTCCGGCCAGGGGGCCACCCACAGGAACCAAGAGCCACACCTCAGGAGACAAAGCAGCACCAGGGAGGATGGAGAGCCAGCCCCGCCCCCGGCAACAGTCCAAGCCCCGAGCCCACCCACAGCCCAGGACCACACCCGGTAGCCGGCCCTTCTTTTGGACCCCCGCCCCAAATGGCAGTCGGGGAACGGGATGGGAATAAAGACACTGACACCCACACCCCCACCCCCCAGATGTACTGTTGGTGCATGTTTTTCTATAGAGTAATTGAAAAGGGAAAGAAGAAGAGGCAGAGGCCGGTGTGGTGCCAGCTTTCAGTCTCCACTGTGAGAAACATTGTGAGAAAATGGAAGACCACAGGCACAGTTCGTCAAGGCTCAAAGTGGCAGACCAAGAAAAATCTGGAATAAACAGAAGTGAAGATGTTGAGAACAGTCAGGTATACCTGATGGCTGCAGTCTACACTAAAAAATGACTTTACATAACCACTGCACAGATTTACTGTCATATTTAAAGGATACCATAGTTCATTGTTGAATACGTTAGTATTTAACAACTTCTTGACTAAACGTTATGTTAAGAGTAACTGTTGTATTCCATGAAGAGAATTTCATGATTTAGGTTTAGTCAAAAATGCAAGATCAGTCTGTGAGACATTCTTCATTCACAAACAGGTTTAACAAAAAAAAAAATTACATATCAGGCCTGTGGCCTTCTTGGAAGCTTTTATGATCGTTAAATGATGGTTCCCACTTGAAGCACGGCTCCAAGTCAGGATCTTGATAGTCATGATGGAGGAGAGGGTACCATCTAGGGTCAAGCTGTTCCTTGTCTTTGTTTTTTTAAGTCCCACCACAGAAAACACCCTCTCTGCATCTGTGTTGGAATGTGGGAGGATGAGGACCAGCTTTGAAGTTGCAGCAAGCCTTTGAATTTGGTGTACTCAGGTCACCTGTGACCAAGAACATAATGGAAATATGCTCTCAAATGATATTGTTTTCTTTCTAATACTTAGGCAGTTGAGTACTGTATGCATCTTCCAAAGTGCTGTGCTGGTATAAATAATGCTCGTGAGGCTATTTCTATTGTGTTCTTGGTGTTCAAAAGAAAGCTTTACCTTATCTTTCCAGTTAGCCATTTCAGCCCAGAAGCTTTCCATTTCATATTCTTCTGGGTGCTGCATTGGTGGCAACATCATTGTCTGGTACTCCAGAAACTCCTCTGCCAGTATATCATGCTCCTCAGGTCCATGATATTGGAGCAGGTGGGGAAACCTATATGAAAAAAGAGTTGCAAGTTATTTATTTATTTTTTTGATAGTCATCATCATCAACTAACAGCAGAAAATGAATACAAGTATTTTAAGAGAAGTCACATAGGGACAGCTCATTTACATAGAGCAAGACACATAAAAACAAGTACTAATTGCTGAAAAACCTCAACAAAGTAAAGGACGCCGTCTATGCTGCATTCAGACCTTTGTCGAACATCAACATACTTTGTATGTTTCAGCAGTGGCTCCTCTTTAAAGCATACTCTACAGCTTTGAGAAGAAATGTTAAAGCTGCGTCATGGAAGTTTTTCTTTTTTTTGTGGTGTGATGTCTCCATCATCCAGTAACTTGTTCAGCTTAGCCCTGGCGGTGAAGCCAATGCTCAGCTTTGCCAAACAAACTGGTTTAACAGAAATGCTCTGTTATGCTGATGATAGAGATGCATTGAACAAGTCAGGTGGTGTTGGGCTACCCAGACAGTCATTCTCATCAGGAGGTGAGCACCACATGGGGTTCCCCCATAGTCACTTGTAATAGTAGATATCAATTGTAATTATGACTAATATTTAAACACTGACCTGGTAAATGGTTTGCTTTTTCTTTAAAAGGACTGTCATGAGCCTGTTCATAGTCCTGCAGCACTGCTGGAAGCATGAACTTCGCACACAGCTTGCAAATAAATTTTAGCATCTACAAAACAGACATTTACAGGTGCAGAGACAGGGAGAAACCTGCTGTACAAGCTCCTAGTAAATAGCAACAAAAATAGCATAATGGAAAAAAATACAGCATAATCATATCCTGCTCTCCCACTGCACCTCTTCATTCAACAAAAATAATGAGGACTGCTCACGCTGGAGGAGCAGATTGGACAAGGTGAATGATGGAATTGAGACCTGGAAGAGGAGGTAAACCTCAGTCATAGTGTCAGTGAACGCCACCTGAAGTCTCCTGAACCTTGCTTGCTTTTCATCTTGAATAAAAAAAATGTGTTTATGTACAATGTGCAGTTAAAGATCCAGTGACATTTGTAGTAGTTTCATAATGAAAATTATTTTAAGCACATACTTGCAGATTTGAAGTAGCTGACCAGAGGCTCATAAAGCCTCAGGATCTGGGTTACACACTGCTCAAGACTTAACCACTGGATGGAGACGTGCATCAAGATGTCCATGCATTCAGCTTTGTGTAACTCAAAAAATTTTGTTACATTTATTTATAAATCAAATGCATTCTTATGCTCTGTATTTTAAAATAAATGTGCACACCTGCCAGGTAACCTTTTTGATTGGTACTACCCTTAAACCAGTAGACAACATCAATGACCAGGTCTTCCAAATCAAAGTTGGACAAATGCAATTACATGAATCCAACGATACAATTTTCAGTCACTGGATATTATCAGTACAGAGAAATCTTTAAATGCAAAGTTCCAGTGTTATGAATTGGCTTGGCTTGGGAAGAACCCCAGATGCAGGACTGAGTGAGGAAGGCAAAAATATTTATTAAAGGAAAACAAAAGACTGGCGTGGCAGCAAACAAGAAAAAAAACTTGGCTTAGCAAGGACATGAACAACTAACAGCAAACAAACATCTGACAAAGACTGAAGACAGAGAACAGAATAGAAAGGAGAACTAACGAGCAGAAACAAGAAACACCTGGGAGAGAAACATGAGGAACAGGTGAGGGTGGGTGGGGCTGGAGCAAAGACAGGCAGGAGGGGGTAAACAGAGAGGGACAAGACAGAAAACCAGACTAGAACCAAAATAACACAAGAACCCAGACAAACCATAACAATCAGGCCAATACTCACATTGAAAAAACCAATCCCTGTAGCTTTAGCTGTGTTGTGCACTACATGACACGAGCAACCATGAACATATATGCCTGAGTGTTTTTGTAGAACTCGGGAGGCGATGGAGTTGTGTGAACCTACATTCACAGCAGCATTGTCCACTGACAGACCCACACAGTACTGCAAAAACTGTCCAACTAATCATTTGATCTTGTTTTGAGACTGATTTACTCAACAATAACTGATTGTGTAAGAATAATAATCTTGTTTTCAGAATGTGTAAGATTATTAGCATTGTTAGTCTGAAAATTTGACTCAAATTAAATCTAAATTTTCTGCCTATGGAGTAAAAACATTTTACTTGGTAAGATTCTTGAAATAAAAAAATGAGTCTATTTCAAGAATGTTACCAAGTAAAATTGTTTTTGTAAAATTAAGTACAGTATTGTCACTTACAATGTAAATTTTTGAATTAAGTGAATGCTATTTCCTGCATTCTGGTGTACAGGTTGTAAAACATACTTTTATAAACACTTAGTCTGAGTATTCTCCTGTCAATTAAGTGGAATGAATTTGTTTGTGAAGCAATAGAAACAGCCCTGGATGAATTAAAATTTTTATTGTAAATCCATGTATGTGTGTTTGTGTGGTGGAGGTGGGTGGGTGGAGGGGTTCCTATCAAATTTTAATTTAATTTGTGAAGGGGGGGGGGCTTCCTTATCACAAAATAATATTGTGACAGCTATGGGCTATTTTATGGAAGCGATTGTGTTCCATAATCCTAATTAAAATGGATTAATAGAAATGCTGTTTCATTTTCAACATGTACCTGATTTTTTTGACTCATAAGTAAAATTATAAATACATAATCCAAACTGTATGTTCATTTTCTTCTCCAAGAC